GAAATAGGACAGAGTTGTGTGGGATCACTTGGAGTTTGGGACAACAAGTGCTTCCTGTGGAGCCCTAATTTGCAAAGGGACCATGGACTGAGAATTCCAAGCTTTGAGCAAAGACCCCAACGACTTTCTACCCGCACGAAAAGAGTGTTGTGTGTGCGGTTTGGTTCGTCGTGTGTCAAACTACTGGGACCCTTGTCATTTTGGGGATGATTCTATATATATATATATATCAATATATATATATCAAGTATTCCCTTCTATATCTGTCCCTACCAGCCGTAAAGGTAAGGTCAATTATTGTTCACAGTTGCCGTTACCAGCTGCCATGGGCTGGTGGGATAGGGCTGCGTGTAATTGGGAGTAATTGTTTTAATCACCAACGTTATTTGAGCAGCCTACATCCACCAGTATTCCTTCAAATCAGAAAGTTTGGCTATGCGCCGAATGGAAACACCGGCTCTTGTGCGTTACGAGTCGAGTTAAAGATCATTCAATCAAGCATGTCACTATCGATCAAGATTTACATTTACATGTCATATATCTCACGAAATTTCACCGAGTTTGGGTCTCGTCGCTGATCGTTCCGCCGAAACCTTCAGGCGGCCCCGTCGTGCGCTGGCCCTGTGGTGCTCCACGGCCGACGTGGCGCTCCACAGAGATCGGACGGTCCAAGGTCCGAAGAGACGCAAACTTGGAGTGAAACAGGGACCGGTTGGAAAGCCCTGAATTGGCAGCTTTGGAATCTGAATATGTCGTCCACTCCAAAATGATCCCGTTCTCTTCCATCGGGAGTCTCGAGATTCTTCGCCTCTTCGCCTCTTCCACGTCACTGATCGATCGACGCAAAAAGCCGTCGCAAACACGTTGGCAGCTCGGCAGCGAGCTGCCACAACAGCGGGGGCAGCGAGCTCAGCATCGACGAAAGGTTCGACACGAAGAAAAGACTCGTTCGTCATCGAGGACTGAAATCATCGCGTGTTGCCCCCGAACCAGTCCAGAATTCGAGGTGTCAACTTGTGTGTATGTGCAAAATAATACACATAAAAATCTAATATTCGTGTCATTTAGTGTCTCTTCTCATGGAAGATGATTGGTGATATCATTTCAGTCCTTTTGCACCGACCTGGGCACTGGAAAAAGGACGAAAAAGGTCAAGTTCCATCAAGGCTTTCACCTTCTACCTAGGACACCAAATTCTCACGCTAGGGCAATCACCCAATCTGTCCAACCAACCGAGGAGAAATCTCTTGATGAGCCGACAACATCTCTGGTCTTGTGGGGCTCCAACAGCCTGCCATCTGGCAGTTGAAGGGATCCAAATCGGAGTCTAAACCCCTCTTTTCAGGACGTCTTGTGAGTGCCGCAGTGGCCTGGTCTGGTGAGGAAAACCTATAAGTTGGGGTCCCTACGACCCAAACAACGACGTGAACTGGGAGAGAAAGCCCGGACGAGGTCCTCACGTCAGCAGCTATGTCTTCAGATGTCTTCAGATTCAGATGTCTTCAAGTGAACAAAACGGTGATTTTTCGTGATTTTACTGCTCGGTGATGCTCCACGGCCGGTGGAGCACAAACTGTTTCGTTCGATGGCGCCACTACGCCCACGCGCTGTGCCTCTGTGGCCGAACGTTCAGAACGCCCATGTCTTCTTGGGCTGAACGATCCAAAGATGCGGCAGGTTCTTCGCCCCAAAATCCAGAAATCGATTTGGACCACCTTGGAATCCCATGACTGCATGATACGACAGGACCCCTTTTTTTCTGATACCTGCAAATGACAAGAAATACAGGACACCAAAAGGGAGATCCAGCTAGAGGAAAATTGCACATGACCCGATCATCAAAGGCAGGTACCAATGCTAATGTACGCATTTTACACTTCATAAACTGTTGTAAGCAGGAAGTAAACAATCTAGACATAAAAAGAATTTCTTGCGATTCTTGCTGATCTGTCTAAGTCAAGATCTCCAGCGTCGGTGAAAGAAACGCACGCATCTTCCGGCCTCCTCAGATTCGTCACATCATTGGGAATATAAGCGGAGACAGATTGGTCCAGGGCCAGATCAAACATGGGCTCAAGAATGCTCAATACAGTCCCTCTGTCCCTCCCCAGACATGTCGGAAGAGTATTTCATTCGACAGTGACACACATTTTTGCCAAGAAGGCTTGCTTCATCTTGAGCCTGCCCAACCCTCCAAGTCACTACATCCGCTTCACAACTCTTCATATTCTTCATAAATCGCCCAAACTCCTTGCGGCGTTGCACCCGTTTCACACCTCGTCAACCCGGGTTTTTCGATCCGATCCCGGATTGATTTCGAGCACTTGATCCGTCACTCACCAACGTCTCTTCCATCCGATCTGCATGTGAGAAGGCAAACATCCACAGGTGCAAAGCCTTGTGACTTGCATCGGGCCAAGATGGCCCCTCAGAACTGTGAAAATCTGACAAGTGTGGATGGAAATCTGACAAGTTTTTTTGGAACTAGGTCTTTGTTGCAGTTCTTTTTTTGAGGGCCCATCTCATCGTCGAGTGTGGACCACGATGCAGTTGATGAAATCACGTTTAAAAAGCGGTCATCGTGCGGACACACACACATATCATGTGTGACCTAACTGATGAAGAAATCAGGAGGCAAGTGCCAGCACGGGATGCAGTGCTCAGAACCAGCAACAAATTCTAGAAACTGGAACAACAAGGGTAAACGCAAACACATGTACTAAACTGATACTTGCACATCTGCACTATGTCTGTCATGACACTTGTGTCTGTCGGCGTAAACCTCAATCCATGTATATCTTGAAAACACGCCTTAGATCTGGCATGGTTGAATGTCACTTTAACCCGTCTGATCTGACAGTACCTTCTTGACAGCAAAAGTCAAACATTGCCGGCAAAAGAGGTCCCCAACACAAGATAAATACAAAGAACATTCAAGATTAAAACACCTGTTTTGAGACAACCATAATCTTTAAGACGGTAAACAACTGATCCCTATTCATGTCTTTTTACACCAAACACATACAGTACTTGTTCTCAATGAGAAGGGAGTGCCAGTGACAAATCGGTCGCGACCTCTGCGCCTCCGCAGGGTTTCGGGTGTCCCGTCAGCCTTGTGATTCTTCAGGATTGTTGAGGACCAAGTCATGTTCAGCCATGATACTAGCGATTTTGACAGCCCCCAACAGGTGAGAATGACACGAAGAGTTTGCTAGAAGCTGTTCATTGGGGGCAGTCCACCATGAGGATAGATCCCAAAGACAAACTCTCTAAATGAGAAGAGATCCCAAGGGTGGAATGGGAAGTCCCAGGATACGTGAGAAGCGAATGAGGAGGATGAGGAGGGTAAGGTGCATCAACTTCATGAAGCTGAGAGACGAAAGGGCTATGTGCATTGGGATGAAGTGGATGAAGGTGAGAGGATTGGAATGAAGCAGAACATGAAGGAAAGGACCTATGAGGTTGAAGATTCAATTCCATCAACAAAAAAGGAGAGGGAAGGAAGAAGGAGAAGAAAGATTGGAATGAGTTTATTGGAAAGGGCCATCGAGGCCTCCACCCCCCAAACCCACCAAAGGATCGGCCCATGAGGTTGTCAATGAGGCGGGGGAATACTTAAGGAAATGGACAGGATTTGGCCGAGGTGGGTGAGTGCAGCAGTCACATGAAGCACACTGCCTTGCATATGACACAAATAAGCTCACAGGGTATTGGATGAGGAAGAAAGGCCAAAAGGTTTTTTCAAAGGCGGTCGATTGGTATTTCAGGCATAAGGTGGCACAAACAAATAGGGGAGGGTTCCTTGATCATGGCTTGGCATTAGGTGTATTTGTTTTTGTGTGCCAGACCCTTGGAATCATAGGGAGCCTTTGGCATTGGTCAATTTTTAGAGTGCAAGGGGCATGCGGCCATTGTGGAGACGCATGCCAACGAAGCTATGCGTAATGGTGGAAGCCGGACTTGATCACTCCGGTGTACCTGCTTGTTTGAGTGTTTGACCACCTTCTAGACTTTTGAGGTCTTTAGGCTGTTGCAGGATGATTCAGGTCGGCAGTCGCGCAATCTTCGAGTTTCGTGCAACTTGGAACCTCGTTGCATTCGACACCTCTACCTGTCCATTTGGGCCTTTTACTTACTTAGGCAGCTTCAGGGCAAGTGTCTTTTGTCACCGAATGCATCATATCTCGAATTGTGTGTGTACGTGTGGAAGCCATATGTTTGGGCAGTTCTCACCAGAATGGCTTGGCTTGTGGCTGCCATCCAACCCACCGTCTATGCCAGCACATTTGAGGTAGCAACCATTCACTTCATCATCGTTCAGGTTCTAGGAATGTGTTTGCAAATTGGGACCGAAACAACAATGTACAATGTACAAGTGCAGGTGATTTCTGCTTCACGTGCCCAAACAAAACCACGGTGTGGGCACTGTGTCAAAACACCAAGCAGCCTGGTCCCTCACCCCAAGTTCTTTGGGGTCGCTTGCCGCTCGCTCCTGATGTATCAAACTCTGACTTTGCTTAAACACAGAGGGAAATGACCAGAAACGATGGCAAATGCACGAGGTGCATAATGACTGGAACATGTTCGCGGGCCATGGCACAGTGACTTTCCACTGTTGTTCGCATCGAAAACCTATTCAAGCACCTTAGGCGTCAACAATGGACCATGGAACAACACCATAAATAACAGAACAAAAACACACAAATACAATCATGTGCATTGTGCATTTCTGTCCACATGGCAAACTCCCTTCTTCAACGGCAAAATGAAGAACGGATCATCAAAATACCACCCCCACAAAAAAAAAAAACATCAAAGTGCCCAGACTGTATCAACAAAGAATATGGAGCCCCAAAGAACCTATAGACAAAAACTACCAAGGTCTTAATCTTACACTCAAAAACTACCAAGATCTTAATCTTACACTCGCGTCTTTATGCATTGTTAACAGTTTTGCATTAGCAGGCTTGCTCCGAAGTGTCTCGCGGGTTGATCTCCGTGACCGCCCTTTTCGTGCCGGGAAAAGCCATCGTTTCTGGCCGGTGGCCCTTCTCGGCAGCGAGCAGCGAGTCAAAGCGTCGCTCACCTGGCGAGCGGCGAGGAGGGGGAACTGGGCCTTTCAGGAACACCCGAAGAAGCGCTCCAAGATGTGCTGAAAACCATTTTCATCGGGGAAGGACCGAAGAACATCCACCAAAAAACCTGGAATAAATCCGTTGGTCTCATAGGAACCCGAAGAAACCCTGCTACATCTATACGCACTACATCTACGTGCTACATCTCTCAGTGTGTTCACTCAGATCCCTTCATTCTGCGCTACAAGGCTGGACGCTCCAATTTTCAGCGGTAATTCAGTGTCTTTGTCCCCTGCTGGGAGAACGTTCTGTATCAACTTGGTTATGTCATTTTCTCGCGCAGAATCTTGCATCAAGATGTTTCACAATAGACCTTTGACCAATAGGCCTTTGACCCATAGCAGCAGAACTTGTCCACCGATGACCTGTCATGCAGAAGTCGACCATATCAAAGGTGCATGTTGCCCGGTGAGATGGCATTGATTTCCCAAAGTGGTGGTTCATGTCAAGTCATGTCATCTATTTTCCCGGAACAAACATCTAGCGTCAAGATGAGTGCTCATCTTTTTCCACCGCCAGTTCAGTCAATAAACGGATTTCAACACAGAAGTTGGTATTCTTGTCCCACTCTGGCTGTCGCGCGTTTCTTTACATCAGAACTGGCTGTCATCCGGGATGCTTAATATGTAGCCATGAATTCCCCAGACGTCAGACGTCCTATCACCTATCTGGTCCTATCAACACCTGGTGAAAACACACCCGGTGGTTTCACACGCGGTCCCTCGGAAAGCTTCTCAAAGGAAGTCACCCGTCCACTTCGCCTCGGGAAGTGGACCCGCTCGGGGTCCCGACCGTCCAAGGGTCCAGTCGGAATGGTTCCGACGGGTTCCGTCTGATTTTTGTTCAAGAGGAAATGGTGTCATAGACCTTCAGAGAGACGAACATTTGTTTGCGATTGATGGCAAATGGATCTCTCAAGGCAAATGAGCCAGGCAGATTTGGCACTATGCAGCCCCCCACAAAGTCTCTCATGATCACCTTAAGCCAAGGATTCGGCGGACTTCGCTTTTGCAGGAACCCAGTCCAAGTCCAATCGCGGCACCTCCTGCACTGGGCGCAAAAAACCTGGGGACCTGCGCAGCGACTGCGTTGGTCGCGGTCCAGCGACGGAACGATGTCGGGCCGAAGTCTCGCCGATGTCGGGATGGATTCAACCTCCCAAGACCGGTTTGAAGCACTCTTAGAACCATGTGTTTCCAAGGTTCCAATCTAAACCCATTCACCAAGCCATGGACGAATCAATCCGGATTTTTGGGCGAACAACAAACGCAGTCCCACATGTCCTCGTTCTGTATATATCACCATACAAGAAGCGCCAATCATGCCGTGTTTAAAAATTTAGGGAGACTTGAGAAGAGAGCACCAAAAAAGCACTGTTAAGAGTTAAGTCCCTCCCAAACAGCCTTCGAACACCCGGTCTTTCTCTGTCCTCGATGAAAATCGGATCGCCTCGCCTCTCAGAGTTTCAGCAACATCTCGGAGAGGTCATAGCGGTTGCCCTTGGCAGGCGGATGTTCCACGGAGTCGTTTGAACCCCCTGGGGCCAAGCGTCAAGCGTCCAACCACCTCTTTTCGTCCAACTGGCCGGTCCTAATCTTCGCGAAAGCCCAGTAGGCTACTTGTAGCTTCCTGTTCCTAGTAGTAAGGCCAGGAGCCCCTAGTAGCGTCCGATCGCTCCTAGAGCCCCAAAAAAAAGTAGCTTCTTGTTCCTAATAGCTTAAGCACTAGGTTTCCTTTCTTGGAGCAGTTGGATGGAAAGCAAACCAAACGCCCCCTTGCTTCGTCTCGGTCTCGAGGTCTATACCCGGAAGATCTGCTCAGATCTATTCATGATCTGCTTCCCCTGCCAGGTGAGTTGCTCATATCTCTTCCACCCCGAAGTCCAACAAAAAACAGGAACTTGCAAGCGCAGTCTTCAGTCTTCCGGTGGCCTTTTCCGAAAGGCTTCCAGAAACAAAAAACTCTGTTACTGGCCCACAACGCCGGATCTCAGCTTCTGGCAGGGTCCAAGTCAAGGAGTGCCTGGGAAAGCGTCGACCGTTCCGGTCTTCCGCCGTGCGACCGGAGAAGACGAAGCGTCGGGAGAACGCCGATACGATCGGCGGCCGAGGGACGACGGAGGCGACGTGTGAAAGAACCATCAGCCGGGCTTGGTGAAGCTTCTGTGCTCTACAAATTGTGTGGGTTCGAAGCAGTTTTCGGAGCGAATTACGGCCTAAACAAGCTATATGAGAGAAACTCACCCAGCACACCTGAAAGACCGTTGATCCAATACTAAGACGATCAAGCCCTGTAAAATCCTATGATGAGAATCAGGGGAAGGCCTGCTATATGCAAATGGGCTCTGTGTCCGTCAAACACTACCAAACACTGACATGCCGACAGAATCTGGAGCAAAAAGTCGTCCTCCCAAACCAAACGCACAGGGGGTCGGTGTAACCGGATGGAATTCGGTATCCGTATGACCTCGTCATGCTGGGCCCCCGTGCCCATGGAGTTGAAGCGGGAAGTCCGATGCGTCCACACGGTGTGTCCCGGTGAAGGCCCCGCTCTCAGAAATGCATCCGACAGCGCCAGACTTCAAATAACTCCATATGTCCATGTGGCGCTCCGAAAGGGATCCCTCACGAGATTTGACGAAAACACCTCTGGCAAGTGCCTGTGTTTTTCTCTTGGCGGTTCGTTTCCCAATGGGGGGGGGTTCGAACCCATTTCGCTTCGCATGGCACGTGGCCCAAAACTCACACCGTTCCCGGACACCCTTCCCGAGACTCCCCGCAACGAGCACAGCTTGAAATCCTGGCGATAAGATCTCGGCCACGGGAACCTGGCGTCGGTCGCACAAAGGCGCGCACCGTGGAAAGACGACGTTGCGTGCACTTGATGCATTGACAAGACAAGCAACCTCCAACTGGTCACTGCTTATCACTTTAAAAAAGAACACAACAGCCCTTTACTTGGAGCCTGTTACCCTGGAAGGGTTTTTATGTTAAGGGTCTTGATTGGTGACCTGTTGTATTGACAGAACAGTTCCAAGCTGATAGAAAATGCAGTGGTGTCCATTGAAACAAAACATCCACACAGGCCACAAAACTCCAACTTAAATTAGTCGTTTTTGAGGAGACAAAAAGGGGTGGCTTTTCGTCACCAAGTGAGTGGATGGATGTTCTTTCTGGGCCCTATCCTCCTTAAGCTACCATCTATCCTTGGATCCAAACTGCTTCGGCCAGGTCTCGTGCCCAAACTGCTTAAGCCCGACGTCTCCCGTCCCCTCCGTCGCGGCGTCACCCACGTGGAGAGTCGGAGAGAGAGAAGACGATTGATTTCGCCCGATGAGTTCGGATGACCTATGACATCCGAATGCCAAATTGAGGTGGTTTTCTCTCACTCACTCACTCACTCACTCACTCACCCACCCACCCACCCACCCACCCACCCACCCACCCACGCACGCACGCACGCACGCACGCACGCACGCACGCACGCACGCACTCACTCACTCACTCACTCACTCACTCACTCACTCACTCCACGTAATGAATGTGAGTGACTTGGAGTGTGCTCTTCGTTGGGCGAAAAGCATTGGGAGTTCCGAAGCATGTTCCAGTTGGGAAAACGCCAACGGGCCATCCAACTGTTCAAAAGATGCAGCATGCACAACAAAATGTATAGTCAGTTCACAATTAATTAACTGCTTGGGTCTGCAAAAAATGGCTCCTTCCCATGGTACCTTATAAATTGGATCCTTCCCACTGTTAACCGCATCGAATCGGTGGGTGATCTTTGCCAAAAACCGCACCTCAACTTATATCCCGCATGGCCCAGGGGGCTGGGGCTGGGAATGTATCGATAGAGAACAGCCTGACATGTCGTGCCACCGAATCGGTTTTGATGTGATCTTTTCTATAGAGCTCGGCTGTCTGTGGGATTGATTTCTGCCAGAAATCTTGGCTGGTCCATATCAGTTTTTAGGATCTCATCCTACGCCCTCATTAGTCGCTATAGTAATGATGGACACGCGGGATTTGTGACGTCAAGACCATTGACCAACCGGCCAAATGCGAACCTTTCTGTCGCGGTCTTCGGGCTCGGCTCGGGCTCTTCCAATCGGACCCCATCGAACGTCCCACACGACCTCCATCGACCTCCGGTCGCCCACATCCGACATCAAGCGGATTTGTCCTCCCGCCTTTGCCGATCCCACAGGGATCGTGCGCCTTGGCTACCCGGTTCATCCTCCCACGGTGGGAGAAAAGCCCCTCGGTCCGGTCCGTCCGGGGTGGAAGATCGGTGAAAGAGGTCACTTTAACCATGCTTTAGAACTGCACACATAATTCTCATAGTGAGTTCCTGGAGTGATCTCTATCTTCCTAAAACCAAGACCATTCAACTGACCCAACCCCATTGCATGGCGGGTCCGTGCGCTGCCGAGTCCGACGCGTTCGTTCCAGCATGTTCCAGCGTTTTCGTGTGTTTAGTTCGTCCTCGGTCCCCTTCGACAGTGCTCTTTTGAACCTCTTTGATCTCTTGAAGGATCAATTGGTTGCCCTCATGCACCAGGCACCAGCTTTGAGCAATCGTTCAGTCTGTGGAAGGCTTGGCCCCAGAATTCTTCGCTTCCGGGCTGTCGGAGAACCGCATGGAAGCTCGAACCGATGAGTTGCAACCAGTCTGTGCCTATTAAATTAAGGTACTGTTTCCGTCCTTTTCTTCCATTTCGCGTTCCAAAACATACTGAGGTGCCACCGCATCGATATGTTCCAAGGGCCAGCTGAAGATTGACCCATACCCTCGGTATTGGAAAATGAGGTCCCTGTAATGCCCTGTATAGGTATTTGTTGGGTATGGGTCATGTGGGGTCATGTGCCAGTCAAGTCCTTTGGGAGTCGATTCGTGGTCGAGTCATTCCTCTTGGATCGGCCAGTCCAGGGACGCTTCAGAACGGTCCCAGGGTACTACTAGCGATGTGCTCCTAGTAGCCATGCCCTTTGCTCCTAGTAATTAGCTTCTTGTT